ACAGATTAAAGTCTTTAAGGGGAGACCTGTTCTCTCTTACTTTGCATTTCTTAGTATGACTGCTGGCCCATTTTGAGTACTAAAAGCAATCTACAGATGAGAATAGCCTAAAAAGTCAAAGTTCAGAGAAAATACTCAGTGATCACAGTTAAAAGGATTTGCTTCAAAGCCTGCTGAAAGGTTTCAGTAATGGCTTTGAGCTGCACTTTTGTAAAAAAAGGCAGAATTAAGGACATTTTCAGCCCACGGTTCAGAGAAGTCCAGTTTGTGACAAAACCCCAAGTTTACTAATATTTCAGGCATCCTGTGAAGGCTATTCATATACTTAATTTCACTTGGATTCGATGAGCTTTGGATAAGTTTCTTAATGAACAGGGATGACATTTGGATGATTTGCTGGGCTGCAGTCAGGAATATTGTTTCCTACTTGCCTTGGTAGGAAAAGTATCTTGGATTGAATTCCTTAGGGAACTAGTGAATTCCTAGTGTTCGCATTCCTCCCGCGCAATACTCAGAGGAATAAATGGCAATGCCAACACGTTAGCTTGCAGCTTTCAAGTTTCAGTGTGTTAAGACATTTCTATTCAAAATTAACTTTACATTTCCTCTGTTCCTTGCTGATCAGTCAGTGGCTGAATCAGCAGAGGAGATGCTACATCGTAGTCAGAGCATAAGAGGTAAGAGAACAACATGAGGAACAACTGATGGAAGGGGAATATTACATTGGCTTAGCAGATAAGATTTTACCCATATTTCTGGTGTTGAACTTAAGATAAACTTGTATCTTCAAAGCAGTCCAACTACTTGCTCCTGAGATCTGGATGAGGAATGTGTTTATACCTGTGTCGTGATTGGATTCCATGTCTGCTTTTCCTGAGTTTGGGTCCAGCCTTATCTGTCAAATTTAAAAGTAAATAAATTAACAACTGTATTTGCTGGTAGCTGCCTGTTCAATGGGGAGAAGGAGGAAAGCCTAGTGACTGGGAAAAGGGAGTCCACGAGCAGGGAGGGAAGGAAGGAAGGCAAGAGGCAGCTGTAACTGAAGGAGCTTGAGGAGGGATGGGTAGATGTTTCAGTGAGTGGAGGGGCTTCCAGCAACCACTGACTTCCAGCTCTGGTGACAGCATGGAGGTTATAGAAACGACTAAGCTGTGAGAGGACAGTTCTTTCTTTAAAGAAAGGGCAATCCTAAAAACCATTTGAGGCTTGTTAATAGTCTGGATGGGAAGATGTGAATTGCTCTGTGTTTCTCAGCCTAGCCTGAGGAGAGGCCCTACTGAAGCACTGATCTCCCTAACGCTGGACTGGTGGGGAATGCTCAGCCTGCAGGGGTGCAGGGAAGGTTTTCTCACCAGCGATGGCCATCATAGCCTCACCAATCCATCCTGCTTCCCCCAGACTAGGCAGGGGGCCAGCATGATTAAGAGTGTCAAGGACTGTAGAGAGAAGTTTGTCTCATTGAGCCAAGGAGATCTCTCTACTCAGAAGCTCAGGAGTTCAGTAGCTAGGTTTTTACTGGCTGCTTGATGGAATGGTTTCTACTAAAGCCTGCAGTAGTGAAGGCTCAGCAGTTCAGCAGACAGGGAGACATGTAGTGTGTATTTATCTGGTCTGTCAAAAACTATGAAATGGAGTACCTTGCTGCTGACCTTTGCAGCATTTCTCTTCTCCTTCCTCTTTCTCCTATCGTTTGTCAAGTCTGGCTTCCAGCTATTTGGAAAACTTTTCCAGGGAGTGAATGCTTATATTTGCCTCAACTAAAGGGAGCACCAGGGATCTTGGATCTTCTGTGACCATTTTAGCCACTCTCTTCCTGGAAATTAAAGAGCTGGACAGAAGTTATAGAGACTCATTTTATATTACACTACATTCTTAATTCATCTTAAACAATTAGTGCAATATGATCTGAATCCTGCCTATTAAACCTTTCAAAACCATTGTATTTGCTTATCCTTAAATGCAGCCCACTAGACAGAGGTCTGCTGAGGGCCAGCACAGATCCAGGGACTTGGGGGAGACCTACCAGAAATAAAAGGGTGAAACAGCCGTGACAGGGCATTCAGGCCATGGGAAGATGGAGGCTGAACAAAACCATTTCAGGGATTGGCAGGGATGCATCACTATCACTTCCCTTGTGTAAGAAACAGCCAGTGCTGTCTTCAGTCTTGAGAGTTCCCCTGGCTTTCCCCTGTCGTTGCCCCCACCCACATTGCCCTTCTATACCACTTCCCAGTCTCAGATGGTGGAGAGTGAACAGAACACAGTACAGGATCTAGAGCACATCACTGATGTCTTGACATATCAACTGTGAGAGCACGATAGGAATTTGGCATCTAGCATGTTGGTCAGGAAACACCCCCTCTTTGATCGTAAGTAAGTCTTTGGAAGGACACCTAGGGGAATCAGACCTGAAAGAATCCATTCTGGGTTTTAAATAAGGGACTAGAGTAGTTGAAGTTAGTGATGAGCCTGTCCAGACAGGATGTGTTGAGTAAAATTTAGTGTTTGTTACACCGAGTGAGAACTAACCCAAGACACTGCACAGCATACTGTAGAGCATATTGAAAACTAGGGCAAAACAGTCAGGATATGGGCTTGAGGTGAAGGCTTAGTTGAACTCTTCTGCTATGTAGGTGACTTGTATTCCTATGTCATGTCTTGAAAAAGAATTGTACTCCAGCTATGTAATGTATTTAGGAAGATGTCATTGTAAATAGGCTGTCTTCGGAATTCCTCCACCTGCATATGAAGATGCTCTGATGTTTGATATCTGACTCTTAAGCATTTGGTTTATTTTAGGTGGGAATAAGGATTCTAAATATGTCCTTGATAAAGTGACAATAATGATTATTAGATTTACTTAGAAATCCTTCTCCTAGATCAATGAGAAGAAAAGCAGAAGAAATCTAGTGTAAATGAACTTGGTGTTCAAAGTTGAGACCTGGCTTGACCACTGATGTAAAACAAACAGCTTAAGAGTGAATTTTCTACATTATTTTGTAACTTTGTGAGTGACAGCTGCAGGGAGTCTGAACGGATGTCTAAATGGAGATATGTGATGTTGCAGCCTGGTTACAAGCAGCTTGCAGCACTGTACAGCATATGTCTTGATGCAGTATTTAAAAGGAGCGAGATGCTGGGATGTGAGCACGTAGAATTATGCAGCTGCAATCAGCAGCATCTCAAAAATGGAATGACTCATGCATTTGTAAATACTAATGATTCCTTCCAGGCTGCCAGTTAGCTCCCCCAGTTTGTTGTGAACGTTAAACTATTTTATGCAGTGGAGCTTCACATTTCATAAAACACAGTCAAGAGAGACTTGAAGAGATTCAAACAAGCCAGATTTGCTACAGACACAAACATCAAAATGGCATGCCACCAAGCAGAATAAAATGGTTAACAGCAGCAACACTTAGGGGGAAAAAAGGACAACTGGAATGTGTGGAGTGGAAAAGAAGTGAAATTGCTGCTTCTCAGTTGATTGACAGCTTAACACCATTTGCTGGAGCCGCACAAACACTGCCTGGTTTGCAGCAGAACTGATCAAGGTTAGAAGATTGTATTATGGAGCATTTTATGGAACTACAGTGAGGCATTTTTCTTCCATACACAGACAAGTAGACTTGGGTTCTGAATGACATTTCCTCTAATGCATACACACAGACTTTAGGTGGCATTTGATTTTGCGTGGTGACTAATTGGAGATCATCCATGCATGCATGTGGTGCTGCATATTAACAGTGGCACAGCTGTCTGGTTGCTTGGGGTCACATTCTGATCAGTTCTGACAATTCATAGAGGGTTGTGCAAAAGTTTGGAAGTCTTACTCCTTCAAGTCATGAGAAGTGAGAATGAAAGAGGGTTCCTGTTTGGAAAGAATTATACAGGCAGCTGTCTTGGTTAACTCTGCAGTTAAAAAAAGATAACTGAGGATAGCAAAACTTCCCCCTGTGTGACTAGTGTGTATCTTGTTCATGCCTGAACACTTCTAAACCTGGGGCTAATTTTTTTCTGATTTTTAACTGAAAACAGAGTCTGAGTGCAGCGGAGGCACAGTGTTACAGATTCATGTCTTCTGGAGAATTTGTGATGTTATTTTTCAAATGCAAGTTAGGATTTTCTGATTCCTGAGTTACTAAGCATAGAGACTGTCAGACAATACACACTTGTCTTCTTCAGCCATGCTCTTTTGTTGTGTTGGTAGCACACGCAGCCATTTGAGTACAAACACCTGGTCCTTCCTTCCCACCAGTCTGCGCAATGGGATCTACTCCAGAATGCTTGGATTTTCAAGGGTGTTTCCCCCATAGAAGGGAGCAGCTGAGGAAGCACTAAACTAAGCCCAGCCAGGCTTAAAACGTTCATCCAACATCAGCTGCTCCCTATCTGCATTGTGGGAAAGCTGACACATATCCAAAGGCTTGGCTGGTTTTGCCTCCAATGCATGTGGAACAGGCAGGTTACTTTGTGGCAGAGTTCAAAATTCCTTCTTTTGTCATGTTCCCGGGGAGCTTGCATGCTGAATTTGCAGTGTTGCATGCATGGCAAATCCATTATCTTTACTAGTGTGTTTGGATATGCTTTCAGCAGGCAGTGAAAGGAAAAGGCGTAACGAAAGTGATAGTGGTCATAGTCTTAGCATAAACTGTTGATGTGCAGAAAACAGTGTCTTGACTCTACTGTAAAAACCATGGTTTCTGAGCAAAAGCAAGCAGTGCAATTCTTTAAATTAGTTTTGCTGCAAATTTTGACTAGGCCAAGAGTTTCTGCTCTGCTTGTTGTTGTAAGAGAGTCTTTACACCCTAACCCTAACCCTAGGCCACAGAGTCCTGATCCCAGCATGAGATCCCAGAATTTTTGAGATGCTGTGTGCCGAGTCCTGCAATGTCAGATTAAGTTCGGGTTCTAAAGTGGAAAATGACTGCAATCTTGCAAACTACCTTCCACCTCCAGCCTCTGATGCTGTGAAGATGTGACCAAATTTCTGGCAAGAGATGGTCTGTTTGCAATACTAGTTTGTAGGGCATTCAAAGAGACAGAAATGCCTTAATAGTAATCTTCATTCTACACTTGTTTCTTTAAGGGCTTGCTTGCCAGTATGAAAGCAGACTCTTTCCATACAGCCTTTTGTGGGCTGTCTATCAGGAGGGGATGGTTCAGTCCTGTGGTACAGCATCTCTGCATGCAGTAGTCCTGAAATATGGAAATTTGCTTCTCAGCCTGGGAAGGGACTGCCACATCACTTCTTGAGGTGATTTTACCCCAGTGAGCCACTTGCCTTCACCTAAAGATGGAGTTTGAAGCTTAGAGGGGATGTAATTAATCACTTTAGAGTCTCTTCTATTGTGTACTAGACCAGAGCAAAGGCCCTTCTATCCCAGCACTGATTCTCTCTCAGGCCATACTGCTGAGCTGACAGTATTTGGTATACTTTGCAGCTGTTCAAAACCAAAAACTCTACGCTGTACTTGGGCAGTTAATATAATAGGCAACAGGGCCCTTTCAGGTCATCTTGTTCAGAGGTTTGAAGTCCTGTAACACAGGCAACTTCTTTGACAATTAAACACAACATATGGTTGTCTGGGCTGCTGGGGCGGTGGCTGTCTCCTGTTTATACTAAGACAAAGACAAAACTATCTCTCTAGACCAATATTAAACAGTTTCTTTTTTGCAAGTTGATAACGGGTTAGTGGTTCCCAGAATAGGCAGTGCATGAAAAAGATATCAAAATAGTTCTGTTTCACCACACAGATTTTCCACAGCTTCAGTTACCTTCTGTCATGGGTATCAGAAGTGTAAGAAATCTGGAAAACCCCAGACTGCTACCGTTAACTGTTAGTGATTGGGGTTTACCCTGCCTAACACTGAATGCAAGTATAGCTTTGAGGTTTCTTGAAAAGCATGTCCATTTGAGTCTAACAGACAAGTACTTCTTTTTTTGGACACCCATTCTTTTAGCGGTGTAACTGAAGGCAACGCAATGACTGCCATGCTACTGTGATGTTTATACATCATGAGTCACTGTTGGATGTTCTTGAATTCTGATAAAGGCCTGCATGGAACCCCATGAAACCCATGCCACTGGGCAGTGTAAGTGGGACTCCTTGAACCCCAGAGCTGTAAATGGCCAGTACTATCTGTAGTCTCGTAATTTCACACGTGGCACCAAGCTGCCAAGTGCCACGGTAGATTGAGGGTCTGTTTTTCATTATCTCTTTCACAGACCAAGATTTTCACTGAATCTCCTTTCCTAGGTACTAGACCTGACAATTTTTCCAGCACAGTAGCCTGCCCTTAGCTATTCCACTTTGATTGGTAGATAAATCTGTTCATCCTGACACATGCTCTTTAATATAGTTCTTCTGCCACTGTCAGCAGGCAGAGTACAAAAGGAAAACAAGAAGCACCAAGTTAACAATCAGTCCTTAGGCACAAGAATAAAATGTGTTTTGTTTGGTCTTTTCCTGGTTTCTACAGGCCAAATAGATGTCATTCAAACTCTCTCTTTAAATAAAAGATGTTAAATAAAAGATACAGTTCAGTTGCAGACTTGGGAAGCTCCCTTTGAGGATTTTTTTTCACTACAGACTTCCCCTCAGAGTTTGTGTTGCTGTCACTAGCCCTCAGCTGTTGGATAGTGGCCAGCAAATAAAGCTTTAGGAAGAAAAGACAAAGCTAGTTAATTTGAAAGAAAAACATGATTAATATGTTAAAAAACCCCTTGTACCAAGGCACCGTTTTGGAGAGCTGATGTGTGCTTTTCATAAGCTCCATCTTGAGGCATATTTGCGTGGATGTGGGAAAAGCATATTCTGGTCACCATATGCAACCTGTACATCTTCCAGTTCATGGCCTCACATGCTGAACCAGGAGGCTGTGTGTCTGAACAACCCTCTCAGCCAAAGGGGATGGCTGGGGACAGGCTACTGAGCTGAGCTTTGTGGGTAATTATGTGGGTGGCTAATTAGGTGAGTGTTACATGGCACCATTTCAGAAGTAGGATGGCGATCTCCTCAGAAGCATGTGTTTCATTGTCAGGCTGCCATTGTCAGGTGCCTTGATGGTGGAAACAGGAGAGACTCTTTTACCTGTGCAAGAAAAATGCGGAGCTTTGGATTTCTGGCAAAAGCGCTGGGTTTTGCCTCTTGTCTCTGGAATTCTATGTGAGAATGAGGGGATCGAAAAAGAATCCTTTCCTATCATTTACTCATTCAGGTAGCCCAAGTGAGTGATGTTGGCATTCACCTTGGTGACCCAGAGAAATAGAAAACCAAAATCTCAACAGAATGCTCTTGCTTCTGGCCTGGTTTATTGGAAGGGTAAGTACTGAAAAAAAAAAAATAGAAATCATTCTCTCTGTCTTGCCTAGGACTCCTGAAAACAGTGGAGCTGCTTGAGATTTCCTGCTTTGCAGGGCACCTTTCAATCTTTTACTTGACTGGAGTGTTCTGATCCCTAGGAGATATTTTGAGTTCCTAAGTTTTGCAGAGACTGAGAGCATGTAACCTGTTTTATAGGAGCTATTGCTATTTACTCTTCATCACTTCTGTGACTGACAAGTATGGAATCACCTGCCCATGAGATGTAAAAACCTCATCCTAAAAGTCATTTAGTATTTTCTGTCCCTCCAAATGTTCTTGTCAGTGTTCCTGCAATTTTGGATCCCCTTAGTTTATGATACAAGCTGCCAATTAGTCTTTGACTCTTGGTACACCCCATTAAAAGGCACAGCAGCTGTATTCCAGTAGGCATAGTCCTTTTCTCTTCCCAGCTCTCAGCAGTGTCACATCCATTGCTGTGCAGCCCTTCTCATGTTACCTGTGTGGCATGTCCTTTTGCTCCGCAACGTGCTTGCCAGTCTATACCTGTGTGTGTAACCCTGTCACCATCAGGGCTGGCTGCAACACAAGTAAAGCACGTGGCTGCCATAGGGAGCTGACAGACTGTGGCAGAATAGCCAAGCTTCTCCTATGGAAGCAGATTGAGAGAGCTGGGCTTGTGCAGCCTGGAGAAGGCTCCGGGGAGACCTTAGAGCAGCTTCCCGTGCCTAAAGGGGCCGACAGGAAATCTGGACAAGGCCTGTAGTGACAGGACAAGGGGAATGGCTTTAAGATGACAAAGGGTAAATTTAGTGTTGGATATGAGGAAAAATATCTTCCCTGTGAGGGTGCTGAGGTGCTGGCACAGGGTGCCCAGAGAAGCTGTAGCTGCCCCATCCCTGGCAGTGTTCAAGGCCAGGTTTGACAGGGCTTGGAGCAACCTGCTCTGGTGGAAGGTGTCCCTGCCCATGGTGGGGGTTTGGAACTGGATGAACTTTAAGGTCCCTTCCAACACAAACCAGTCTGGGATTCTATATGGCAGAGACCTGGAAGGCAAGACTTGGCTGCTGATGCCTGGTTTGGGGCAGATTGCAAAGGGAAAGCAGCTCTGTATCATTTCCCCTATTGCCCATGGCAGGGACCAGCCAGCCGCCAGCCATGAGACAGCAATATTTCATGTTGCTAATGATGATGGCTATTGAGCATTATTTCTTCATCATGTGAGGAAGAAGTTCTTTACAATGAGGGTGGTGAAACACTAGCCCAGGTTGCCCAGAGGACTGGATGTGGTTCTTGGTCAACCTGATCTACTTGAAGATGTCCCTGCTCCTCGCAGGCAGCTCGGACTAGGTGATCTTTGAAGGTCTCTTCCAACCCAGACTGTTCTGTGATTGTGTGATACATGCGATACCTGCCTAGCCACATGTCCTTCACTGCCACAGGTCTCCAGTGCACAACTGCAATGAAGAACTAAGCCCATTTTCCCCACTGCATGAATAGGGCAAAAAAGAGCTTTAGGAAGCTGGCCACGACGTTCTGATCATGACGCTTGGCTCTGGCAGAGCTAAAATCCTCTCTGTTGATGCTCCAGCTAACAGTGCCGCTGGTGACAGCTCCTCTCCGCTGCCGACGCCATTTTCTATCCTGCTGCTCGCTCTCCCCTTCCCTTTTCTTTCTGGCCGTTAAGTGTTCCTGGGGAAGCGCCTCTTTGGACACCTCCTTTATCGTTACAGAAGTGGGGATCCGTTTGGGTGACACGTTTGGTCTGCCCTCGCCGGGATAACGGACAACACCGCTGCCGGAAGGGCCGGCAGGCACAGGGAGAGGCGGCAGGAGCCCGCCGGACTACATCTCCCGGCGTGCCGCGGGGAGCAGGCGGGCCGGGAAGGGGCGGCTGGCGCGGCCGGGCACCCGGAACCAGCTGAGCGCCGCAGGCCTCTCTCTCCACGTTCTTGCCCCACAGGCTGTGCTCGCCGGGAGCCGCCCGCCATGTCAACGGTGGCCGCCGCCAGCTGCGACGCCAAGGGCGCGGGGGAGCCGCGGGCGGAGAAGAAGCCGCTGAAGCCGTGCTGCGCCTGCCCCGAGACCAAGAAAGCGCGGGACGCCTGGTGAGGCCTCAGCCGCCGCCGGGGTCTTGCTGTGGGCTGTGGTGGCCCCGACCGCCGGGGCGGGCGGCAGCTCCTGTGCGGTTACTGCCCTCCGGGGGAGCGGCCTACAGCCGAGCTGCTTGGAACGGGCGGTTTAGCTTTAACCCGTCCTCAGCCCGCTTCCGCCCTATGTGCGCGGTTTGGGCCGGTGCGTTCCCCTCCCTGCTGCCTTCCAGGAGTTCCTGCCCTTGACAACGTTGCCGGGGTGATGCTGGGAGCTCTCCCCAACACGGACGGAGGGTGCTGGAGCAGCCAAGAGTGATGGGAGAGGGAGGAGGAGAACGTGCTTTAAAGGGATAAATTCGAAATTAAGAGATTAATGTTTCATAGCCCTGGTTTAAAACAGGTTTCAGAGATTAGCTTTTAATGCTGCTTACAAATCTTCCCTGCTGTTAACTGACTAAAGCAACGAGTACCAGCAGGTAGTAGCATTTTTATTGTTTAATTAATTACAAGTGCCGTTTTCTTAAATAAAATATTTTGGGGTTTAGGTCTCAGGATGACATTTTTCATAGAGGTGAAAACTTGACAATTAGATATATAGCTGCATTTATAATTTCTTTGTTTTTAACCTGATAGGCGGTACATTGGTTGTTCGGTAGGTGACATGATGCCGGACACTGTATTTTGCTGAAGTTAGGGCTGTGTGTCTAGTTATGTGGTAGAGTGAAGGTGAGTCCAGGGCTCCATGTGAAAAGAGTGGTAGGATGCAAGTACTGGGTCATATGGTGCTGTCCAGGGCAGCCAGCAGACCTGGCCCTACTTAGTGTAATTAAGCTTAAAGCCTCTTCCCTGTGAGGGTGCTGAGGTGCTGGCGCAGGTTGCCCAGAGAAGCTGTGGCTGCCCCATCCCTGGCAGTGTTCAAGGCCAGGTTGGACACAGGGGCTTGGAGCAAGCTGCTCTAGTGGAAGGTGTCCCTGCCCATGGCAGGGGGTTGGAGCTGGATGAGCTTTAAGGTCTCTTCCAACACAAACCATTCTATGATCAAATGATTTAGAAAATAGGATATTTTAATTATTCACAATTTGGTATGGCAAGAATGACATAACATGACATCTGAGAGTTGATCAGGCCCATGAACTGTGCTTTGCAGAGTATTGGAATCCCCGCCTCTGGGGACAGGAAGCACTTCGGTCCATCAAAGAATGAGTCTGAACCGCTTTTGTGGTATACATGATACATAAGTGGTGCTAGGTTCTTACCATTATTTGGATACGTGTTAGACACTTGGATGGATGAGTAACATCAAAAGTTACCTATGTGGTGAATATTTTTTTTAGCAGTTGCTGGGCAGGGTTTTTTTTCCTTCAGGTTCCCTGAATACCAGCTGAAGCTGGACTGAAACATCATTTACTGGTCACTCTGTTCTGTACTGGTCTCTTACTGAAGAAATTTTGTGGCTTCTGTACCAAATGATTTGAACCTGGTTGCAGGCAAGATCAGATCGGCATACTTGAAGTGATGTGACAGCTTCGTGTTGTATAACAAATCCCTGTCTAGACTTGCCCAGAATAGTCACAGGCCTGTTAATAGGAAAGTCTATTACATATTTCATCAGATATTTAGGTATGTAGCTCCAGACTGTGGCAGCTTTCTGAGAGGTATAAAGTTTTTGGCAAGTATAGTACTGCCCTGAACAGGATAGGCAAAAAGATCTCTGAAGCTGAATAGGGATTTCTAATTGTCTCCAGCAGCTTGTCAGTTCTGCGGCTTTGACTAATAGTAAGCAAACAAAAATTTGTTGTTGAACCTTGGAAATCACTTTGTTTTGCAGCATCATTGAGAAGGGCGAAGAAAATTGTGGGCACCTAATTGAAGCTCACAAAGAGTGTTTGAGAGCCCTGGGCTTCAAGATATGAGATGAGCAGGACTCTGAATGTGGTGAGTACAGCCTTCAGGACCTCTGCCTCTGAAGTGCCCTGGTGTCTCAGTTATTGCCGCTGGAAGGCCCAGAGTACTGTTCATGATGGCAAAAGTGTCTTCCTTGTGAGAGGGAAGGCAAAGTACTCCTTACTGACCCTGGAGTGCTCATGAGGGTGGTGAAGCTGCCTGGCAGCATACAGCCTTTGTGAGTAGCTCTTCAGCAGCAGAGTATGGTTCTGCCTCTGTTGTCTTCCAGTAGATCCAAACTTCACTGTGGATATCTAATGCCAAGGTTTTGTGGGTTTGTTGGTGGTTAGTTTGCTTGGGTTTTTTTTATCTTTGAACAGCCCCTCAATATCCAGTGGAAATCCATGTTTTGTGAAGCTGTCTTTCCTCTCTCTTCTAGGTGATGTCTGTGGTGTGACTGTGTTCTGGAGAGCTGCAAAATAAATTATTTCTGCAAGTTACTTCAAAGAGCAAATATAAAGAATCTATTTATAAAGAGTTGTTAATGATAGACTGTGCATCACATCCGTGGCTTTTCCACTGTTAGCTCTTGATCACTGCTATAGAAAATATATTTTTTCCTCTTAATAAAAGTCTGAAAATGACCAGTGTTCCTGACTTCTGTTTCTTTTTAAGTAGAGAAATGACACTGCTCCCCTCATGGCAAACAGGGCACTGTAGGAGTGGAGGGAGTGAGAAAAGCCTGCTTGCTCATTGACATGAGAACACAGGTTCCTCTGGTGTTGTGGTTGAACATATACGCCTTTGGTGGGTTTTCTCACTGATTCAAATTGAGAAATCATGCTAATAACACTGATCTGTTACTGCTTTCAGCAAAGTCGTGCTGGAGCTTGTAGTGCGGTTTGTGTTGGTGAATGTAACTATATTTGTACCAAAATATGACCTTCTTTTGAATAGCTTTACCCTAGGATTCAGGCTGCATTATTTCTAATTTTATCAAACTCAAATTCTTGAGCCAGTGGTTCATAAAGGGAAAGGGAGCAGAGGACTACAGATGTATGTACAGTAAATTTGCCTGAAAAGCAAGCGTTTTTATGCCAATTTTTGCTGTGTTCAAGGTCTTGTGCTAGGTGTGCATGGGCTTGTATTTTCTAAATGGTTTTTTCCTCACCTGTGTGAGATGACAGTGGGAGGGTGGTTGTGGCCTTTGATTCCTTTTTTGCAATGGAGCGGAAAGTGCAGTTGTTAATTTGTTACACTTGTGCAGGGACTTTGGTTTCATACTGTGTTGCTGTGCAACCCTAGT